ACACCAATCCGCTCCTGCCGTGTGATAAAATTGAACTACCAGAGGAATTTCTTTCTTTCTTTCTCTTTTCTTTTTTTTTTTTTTTGTTTTTACAACTGCGGAAATGAAAAAGTAAACAAGACTAGGAAGGCATTGGTATTTAGGCTCCGGCTTTTTGTTGTTGTTTTCGCCTTTTTCTTTTTTAAGCCTCGGGCTGGGAGTCTGAAGGAACCATATAATATGAAAAACCCAGGGAGGTTTTATTAGCCAATAAAAAAAAACTGAGTTCCTATTAACCACTTAACTCCTTGAGAAAGTTCCCCACTCGTTTCCCTCCCAAGATCCTTCTCTCCATTCCCTCTCATGCCAACGTGGAGGGAGAGTGGGCCCGTATGCCGTGCCCGGCACGACCTGAGTGCACAGTTTATGTTCCAGAAGTTGTGGTGGAGAATTATGCTCAATGATAATCTCTGTACTTCTCATCTGTGAAACCACTAATAAGATCTCGATAAGGAGTCAAACTTTCTATGCCCCCAAACCTGCACACAAAAAGGCTCTTTAGGCACAAGGCTAAAAAGGAGAAAGGTCACTGTGACTTTCAAGATTTCAATATGAATGACTGGCAGGGAAGACAGAGTGGGTGCTAGGGCCTTACTGGAAGACGTAATGGTGCCACCCAAGGGTCCTCTCTTTTGTGGGGGAGGGGGGGCAGAAAAATACAGAGAAACTCAGAAACAGAAAGTGAAACTCGCCTGAGCTATTGCCCTGTCAGAAGTGGATGGAATTATTTAAAAAAAAAAAAAAAAAAAAAGACCTAATTTGGGAAGGAAATGATGTCAAAGGAGATGTAAATCCTAAAACCGTTGTATTCATTCTCCCACAGTTATATGCATGTCCTGTGGTTTTGCTGTTTGCTTTTTTTGCTTACTTTTGAGGAATAAATTCACACATTTACACCAGTCCGTCATCCAGCCGCGATTCCTGGTACTCGTCTCTCGCAAAGCCCCCCGAGGCTCTGCCGTCATACCCTGGACCTCCTGATTCCACCAAGTCCATTGTCTCTTACTTCCATTTCCTACCTCCCAGCTAACTCCGGCACTTTGGGTGCTCCGGGAGAAATGTCTAAGGCCTTAGGCAGTACAGACTGTGTGACACCTGGTTGTGATCTTGTGTTCTGGTCTCATTGAATGTTGTACAGGGCAAGACTACTTCTTGAGGGGCTTGTGTGGAAGAACTTTTGCTTGCCCCCCAGACTCCCACCTACTTTTTGTTTTTCCTTTTAGCATTTTGCTGTATGGTCTTAATTTCTTTCTAAGGATGACAGGTAGAGGGTAATTCTTCCCTTTCTATTATTGACTATGGAGTGGGACAGAATTACCTAAGGCAAAAACAAAGGGCCAGCGAGGAGGAGCCTGGGTGGCTCAGTGGCTCAAACATCCGATTTCAGCTCAGGTCATGATCTCACGGTTCGTGAGTTTGAGCCCCACAGCTCTGCGCTGACAGTGCAGAGCCTGCTTGGGATTCTCGCTCTCCCTCTCTGTCTGCCCTTCTCCTACCCACACTTTCAATCTCTCCTTCTCAAAATAAATGAATACACTTTAAAAAGGCCCATCAAGCTGTGGGCTACATTGGCAATCCTAAAAGCAGAAAGCAGGTTTTCCAGAACACCCCCCAAGTGGCCAGACATCACTGCCACAAAATAAGAAATTAGAATAAGTTTAGTTAAAAGTTAAGTGGGTTTCCAGAGACTTGATCCTTCTGCTTTCAAACTAGTTGAGCGTGTCTGAACAGCAGGGCCAGTTGAGTCACAAAAAGCTCTTAAAGAAAAGCCTTCCCAAAAGGAGTAACAATCCCTTTTTTAAATGTCAGCTTCACCTTGCTCCTGACATCTCAGGGAGCGAGCAGTGTCCTTTGTCCCCTCCAAATAGCCTATATGAAGAAGAATAGTTGCTTCTTTGCCACCCGTGGAATGAAGGTGGTACTCTTTTGTAGGATTTGCAAGAAAAACAAACACCCAAGACAAATAAGTGCCGTGTCAAGGAGCCCGTGTGTGTGTGTGTGTGTGTGTGTGTGTGTGCGCGCGCGCCTGCGCGTGCATGTGAGTGCGTGCACCCTGATGGCTGCTCAGGCACCCCTTTCCATCCGTCCACTTCCCTTCTCCCTCCCTTTAGACGCTCGCGTACGCACACACACACACACACACACATACACCCGTAGGGTAGTTCCCTTGGCATCAGCAGTGGATTCTTTTCTTTGCTAAATTCATAACTAATTTCATAGCTCTTTAAAAACTTCACTCCCAAGGCCTCCCAATCGAATACCCACTACGGGGAAGTCTCTCCCAGAGAGACTTCTCAGGGTGCACAGAAATGGAGGGAAGTTGGGGACAGCTTCCCTTGCCTTGGCTTAGAACTTGTAACTTAGTGCCTCAGCCATCCAAGTGTTGGTCCCTAGCTGCCGTTCCTTGACACCTTTTCCAGGCCTGAGGATGGAGCCAACGAAGAAAGAGCGGAGGGGGGTGGAGAAGAAACCGGAGTGAGTCGGTGTGCCCAGCCCTCATGCACAGGCCTTCTGTCTCACCACCTGCACATTCTCTGCACCAACCCCCAACAGCTCTGGCCTGAAGGCGTCCTTCCCGGCCCCTCAGGACTTTGCCTGAGAGCTCCCGGCGAGCTGGCCTGTGCCTGCTAAAACGGTGGCAGCCAGGTGAGCTGTCCCCAGGAACACACGGAGACGTCACAGTACCATCTTCTCATAAGCCTCCTGCCTTTGGAGAGGCCCCCAGACCACTGTTTTCCTAGAACTGGTCTCTAAAATTGATTTCCAAGTACTTGGGACGGGAGAGCCAGCTGACTGGACAGTCCAGTTTGCCTGATAATCACGGTAGGGTTGTTTGCTTAAGTCAGTTGGGCCAGTGCCTCCATTTCGGCTGTGGCTTTGGGCTGTGTCATTATTGTTAACCACCCGTTTCCAGAAGGAAGGAAAAGTCAGCTCGTGAAGATCTGTGAAGATCTGTGAGACCCAGCTCTCACTCATCGATTGTGAACGAGGCCTTCCCCTTCCTCCTCCCTTGCCTTTTCAGACTGTTTTCAAATCCCATAAATATAAACATGTGGCTCTTCAACCGCATCTGTAGATAATAACTTCAGGGGGCTTCCTGTTTACATGGCAATACCCATTTCCCAGCCAAATAAACTCTGCAACAGAGAGCTGAGGTGTTTATGGGGCCAGTGTCGGCTGGGATTGAGTTAACAGGAAACACCCACTCTCAAAGCAATGTCTGATGATTAAATATTTGGGGCGCAGGGGGCACCGGGGGTCAGACACACTGGAGAAACGTCTTTCCTTCCTCCGCCGGTCGTTTCCAGTGAGACCAGAAGCAGCCACGATAAACATGGCCAAGCAGTCCAGGCCTAAAAGGCCCCACAGCTGTGCTGTTCCCTGGCTGCACGGCCCGGGGCGTGAAGAGGAGGGAAGAAGTGCAAACGGGAAAGCCCTGAGCCCCCCTCATGACATAACCACACCTCAGGGTGCCATCAGGTGAAGGGATGGAAGGGGTTGATGCATTTCCGTCTCTGGGACGCCCCGCCGTCTTCTGCCTGGCTACCCTGTTTTAATGAGCAATGTGTTCTCACACCAGTTCTGTCAAGAAAGCCCGATCCAAGAATTTAAAAAAAGCCTCTAGCCCACTGGTTCTCAATGGGGGGTAGTTCTTCATCCCAGGGAACATTCTGGAGACGTTTTTCATTGCCATGACGGGAGCAGTGCTGTTGGCATCAAGCGGGTAGAAGCCAGAGATGCTAAATATCCTACAATGCACAGGAAAGTCCCCTTACACACACACACACACACACACACACACACACCACACACCAAAGAATTATCTAGCCTGAAATGTCAATAGTGCCAAGGTCGGGCCCAATGCCTTTCCATAAAGCCAAAAAACTGAGACCCAGAGGAGTAAAGTGATTGGCCCTAACCCATGCTGCTGGACGAAGCTGGAGAGAGTGAGAAAGTCACTGTGCCCACCTGTCATGCAAGGCTTTTTAAAACCATGCAGATGTCTAATTTAAAAGGATAAATAAATATATATCTTCAAAGAGTTGCAAACGAGTTCCCCAGCCTAGGTTTCGCCCGAGTGCTTTCAGGATGTCTCGTCGTCTTAGAAATGAGCTGTTGCCAAGATTTCTCAGAAAACAATGCCAAACGGGTAAGAATGAGCAGATCTCAAAGGAGGCCTCCCTACCCCTCAGCACCATGTGGGCCACCGGCCGGTGTCTGACCATCTTGGCACCACGGCTTCTGTGGTACACCAAAGAGGACAGAACAGACAGCACAGGACATAAAGAAAGCCACCACTCTACCCCAGGCCCTCAACCTTATCGAAGGGGAGGGACTTACCAAAAATACACTATGCCCCCCCCAAAATTCTCCAAACTACAGTTATGCTCGCTAGTAGAATTTTTCCGAGGCTAGCGCTCTCCAGGCCAACGTCCGTTTTTACTTACCCTTCAGGTATGATTGACTTTCTTTTTAAGAGCCCAAGAGAGTTGTGGGAAGGAAAAGAGACTACCCACTATGGTGGGGCTGCCTGAGATCTTCTGACCACAGCAGGGGTTCACTTGCGGGCCCTTGTTCGTGTGCCCGGAGATTAGAACCATGGGACCACTGGGATTGCTGTCTTTATATGGGGACCAGTCCCTTAGACTGAATAAGGCACTTTACCCAAGGATGGGGCAAGCGTTCCTTCCTTCAGACACAGGCTGCTAAGGAAGTGAGTTCACTGCTAAATCCTTGAATCACGCCTCTGCAGGAGGAAGACAAAAGAAGAAAGGAGAGCTCACCAAGATTTTTTAACCTCTCACCAGTAATCTAGACCTCTGCTCTTATCTGGCCCTGGCAAGTCCTACGGCCAAAAAGTGCCCAGGTGTCGGCAGGAGTAGACGCCAGACTAGAGAAGGAACCGCGGCGGAGAAAAGACCCAATGTACACACATAACAAAACCAAAAAAAAAAGCCATTTTATTGAAAATTAAATTCAAACTTCAAATTAATATTACAATCATGAGAAAAAATGCCAAATAATTCCATTTACAGTTGCAACATACAATACAAATAGTCCCTTTGAAGTTGAAAGTAAACTCATCCACAATCATGGCCTGTGGGACAAACCAGAATTTGTACAATATGTGCAGAGAAAGCAGATCTTGGGCAACAGCAATTGGAAAAAAATAAAAATGAAAAGCTTGTATTTACACAAAATGCTACAAACATTTTTGTTCCACAGAAATCTAAGAATGGTAAAGCATATCCAAAAAAATGGAATTTTATTCAGAATACCTAAGAAATTACTGTAACTTATGGTTTTGGCTGATATATTTCAAAGTACTGCATAAAAAGCAAACAGTTATTTGTAAACATGAAGTAAACAAACATCTAAAAAATTCTCACACAGAACATATTTTGTAAATGCATTCTCTTTTTAAGAACAACAAATTCAAGGTTTGGAAGAGTCGCCTTTATTTATTATTGTTCTTTCGAATAGCCTAGAAATAATGATTGTTCTCGCTCATGCTCTGTGTTTCCATGTATTAACCGAGACTCTGAGTCAGTCCCCTTTGCCGGGAACAGAGGGAACGCTAAGCCAGAACACACACGTCTCCTCCCCTCTGAATTTGCAATGGTTGGGCCCTAACGGTGTGTGTATTTCTCGGCTTCCTTTTAAAAGGCCCTGGTGGGGCAAGATTGTCTACAGAGCAAGCAATAGCTCATCTGTTGAGCCTCCCAGTTCCAGGCTGGATGTCACTTCCCTCATCCAAGACCAACGCCGTGGTACCTGTTTGTGGGACCCTGGCAGAGGTTAAAATTTGTGAGACGACTCAAACAGATACACGTGTCTGCGTTGGTTGCGCTGTAAACTCCAGCAACGTTGGCCCTATAAAGAACCAGGCTCTTAACCTGCAGGAAATACAGAGTGTTGGCTAGTACACGGTTTCACGGTGGCAGTAGGAGCAGGAAGGCTTTGCTTTGGTCTTCGAATCACAGATCATACACATGACCCAGTGCAAATGAAGGGTTCAGTTTAAAAAAGAAAGAAAGAAAGAAAGAAAGAAAGAAAGAAAGAAAGAAAGAAAGAAAGAAAGAAAACGAAAAAGAAAAATTTAACCCCCAGGCTTTGAAAAAGGGCGGAATTTGATCTAAGAAATGTGACTTACCCCTTTGGAGTGGTTGGAGGAAGGGGAGAAGTGCTTGAATTTTTCCCAAGAAAAAAAAAAAAACAAAAAAACAAAAAACAAAACAAAAAAACTTTTAAAGTGTTTCTGGGTTGCTGCCTGCAGCCACTCTAATAACATTTTAACACAAAACCATCCCTAAAGTCACTTAGTATGTGTACTGTAAACTTAAAAAAGCCCTTTTAACATTAAAAAATAATGTACAAATATAGTACCTTTTTTTATTAAATAGGCTACAGCTGGCACTGGCGGTAACATTTTTATGTCAATTAATTAAAATTGAAATGTGTAACCAGACACTGGCTTTTTTAAGTGCTGCTGAAACACACACACACACACATTTTACACTTACAAATAAATGGACAGTGGCGTGCTTCAAGCTACCACACACAAACAATAAATAGTATCAGTTACTACTTCCATCTTAGTTAAGTAATAGAAAAGTGGCTTATTTATCTAAGCATACTTGGTATACAACCTTTAGAAGGCAAAGTGTTTTGTTTTGTTTTGTTTTGTTCTGTTCTGTCCTTGATTTTTTGTTGGGTGGAGTCGGGGGAACTGCGAGGGAGGCCCCCACTCTCCCTGCAAGGCATGGCGGCCGGTGAGGTGGGCTTGCGAAGGACTACAGAGCAGGGGCCTCTAGGGGCTGGAGACAGAACTCGACAAAGTTCTGCTCAAAGGGGCACAGAACTGAAAGGAAGGGGCCCAGACCCATGGGAGAACAGGCAGGGATTTGCCCGGTGGTGTCATTCAAACGATCCTGGCTTGGATTAAGGATTCACGCTTGAGAATTTGCCATGTGGCCTCCAGAGTGGTCAAAGTGCATCCTCCAGGAGGGCTTCTGCTCAGATTCGTATGCGGGAGTAAGACCCCAAACTCCACGTGGCCTTGCCTTCCCTTGACCCAAAGAGTTGGATATGGGTCCCCACAGGCCAGATGTTCTCTCAGATCGGCTATCTGCTGGAACTTGCCTGCTGCGTCAGATGACCCGCTCCCCCATAAGACAATGACTTAATCTGCCCCTTTAAGTGCAGATTCGGTGGAGGGCTGCCGTTGGGGCCTCGGGGAAGGCACATCTGGGTTTTCCTGACTTACTGGTGGGTAAGGCCGGTGGGTTAAGAATCCCCGGTACGATTTGGCTTTTCCTGTACGAAGTGCATCCTGATCGACCCTTCAGCCACTTGTGTGGCTTTCCGCTGCATCTTCACTATGAAGCCTGGCACTTTAGAGTTTTGCTTTAACTATGAAACCACAGAACATTCTTCTGCAGTTCAATGATTCACTTGTGCTTGTCTTTTTAGTACGACAAGAGTCATTGTCATTTGAAAGAAATTAGGAAACCACATCACTCCAGCATTTCATGCTGATAAAGGGCAACATAAGTGATAAAGGGCTACGAGTTGGTTTTTAAATCCCCAATTATTGCTTTAAAAGGCAAAGCTGTGTTAGAGGCAATCAGAGATCTGAAAGAACGAGACATAACATTTCCTTCATACGTCACAAAAACAAGCTACATCTAAAATATTTGGAGATGGACGTATTTTTGAAAATCACATTGTGCCTGAACTGAAACTGCTTAGCAATATTTCAGATATGGCTCTAGCCCACTGAAGAAATTTGTTATTTAATAAAGAGCACTTTTAGAGACCGAAGTCAACATATCAGTACACTAAGAAATGTTTCAAGGGTCCAAATGTCATTAAATAATTATAAATATATCTTTAAAGTTATATGACCATTCACGTTAGCAAGTTACCTCAGATTTTACACATATTCATAATTTAAAAAAAAAAAAAGAAAACAACACACAGCCAAACACAAACACTATCTATATCATTATGGCTATAATAAGGTATTGCCATTTTCAGTTTTGCATAAAAGTAGAAAGGAGAAGGAGTGGGGGGAAGTGGATTGAAGGATGGGATTTCTTTTTGGTTAAATGGGAAAAGGAAACAAAAAAAAGTATAAAAAAGTAAAATCAAATCATCTAGCCTGATCAGTATTTTTGGAGTCACTGTCTTAAACGTAGGAAAACAACAACACTGAACCAGACAGGTCGTGTGGGAACTTGCGGCAAGTCTGAGAGCAGTTTGGAACAGTTACTCTGAATGGACTGCACTGTGCTGGGGGCGTCCGTTCTACCTCTTTGCCCTCTGTGTGCACCTCGACTGGCTTTAGAAGCTGGTCTGCAGAGGGCACTGGTCCACACACAGCTGCAACCGTGAGGGTGTGCGGTTTCAAAGCACAGAGAGGAAGCGGCTTTGCTCTTCTTCCTCCTGAGCCTGGAGTCCACCTCTCTGAATCGGCATAGGAACGGGTTATTTATGGCAACAGGCCAAACGACAACACAACAAAAGATACCTTTTTCCTTGGTTTGTGAAAGTACAGTTTAAATAGAAAACCATCTGAAACCTGAATACAATTGTCTCTCTTGGGCCTTCTGCTTCTCAATGTCTACCCTCTTCTGGTTGCAAGATCATGACTGAGTGAGTGAATGAAAAATCTTCTAAAAATTAGGCACTTTGTAGATAGCTAATTGATATACATATATATGCACTCTCTCTATATATGTATATATTGATACATTTGGGATGTGGCTCCCAGATACCGCTGGGCCACTGCTGAGGAATTTCAATATGGCCGCCAAACAGATTCATCCATTCTGCCACTAGAATTCAAAACAGTTGGGGAACTGCTGTGGCTTCCATCAGCGTCAACACCATCATTCTGGTTAGGCAAATTTGGATTTAATAGCGTGCTGCCATTCGAGGTGGTGGTGCATGGCGGAAGCATTCTGGAAGGTGACCGATCTCCCCCCGGCACCATGGGGAACTGATAGGATCCTGACGAAGTACCATAGTAGAGATATGGAGTGCTGCTGGTCTGGAAGGGTCCACTCTGGCTTTGGGAAGAGCCGGGGTAGGGTGGTGGCAGGTAGGTGTGGTAGTGGGTGGTGGCGGACATACCGAGGGACATGCCTGAAGTGACTGGCGGGGTGTAAGTAAAGGTGGCTGGATAGTGCATTCGTGGGTTGGAGAAGCGGCTCTCAGTGAGGGATGAAATGCTTGGGAACTGCCTGGGGTCTGAAAAAGGGCCCAGTTCTGAAGCACCTAAAAATTATAACAGAAGATGGGGGGAAAAATCTGTAAATATCAATTAAAATAATGAGAGAATCTTTACAAGAAAAAAAAAAAAACAAAATTTTAGCCTCCCAAGAAGGAACAGCAAGCCACAAACAGACCTTCAAATGTACCAGTCACTAGATAGTCTTTCCTTTTTATTTTTTTCCCCACTTTACAGTCTTAGCGGCAAGTATCCTTAAGCTCTTCATTCCCAGAGAAAAAAACCCAAATGTGTGCTAGGTCTTATCTGTAAACCAACCCAACACCTATCATTATAGATTCACTCACCAGACCCTAAGACTGAATCCTCATTGGCTTTTTTTTTCTCTCTGTCTCTCGTTGGACCTCAGATATTTGAAAGTGACATTTTTACGAAGTCACTCAACCCCCAATTTTATTTTCCCAACCCAATATAAAGAAATCCCAAAGCGATCAGTTTTGTTACTGGTCCTCTAGGCAGGGCCCCTTCATCAATGAAGAGACTTCAAAAAGACACCCTAACATCTTCCTATTACTTCTTTTCATTTTGAAAATAATCTATAATCTTGTTTTATTCTTTATCTTAGTAACAGATTTCAAAAAAATAAAAAATCAAATCAGACTGAAATCAAACCGGTTTTCAACGTAGTCTGGAACTATCTTACATTTCTGGGGGCAAATAGGGAGAGTCTAGCCCTTAGAAATTCTCCTGAGGCTCATACACTGAATAAAAGGGTTTTAAAAGTGAGGGTGGGGGGAAGGCTTAGTGCCGAGGAATCATTGCATTTCGTGTCTCAGTGGGAGACCTAGTGGCCTAATGCAGCTTTCATGAGAGGCTCTGTGCCCAGGGGAGAGAAGTGGTAGAGCGCTCCTCAAGCACCCCTTCACCGGGCCCCTGTGCCACATCGTACGGCACCAGCTTCAGGCTAATTGCAAGTGGTACCTGAAGGCAAAGCTGGTTTTGCCCTGAAATGTGAAGTCCTTTAACTTCGAAAGCTAACGGCGTGCCTCCTTAATAGGTATTTCCGGTGCTTAAACTTATATAAAACCATAGTCATAAACCACTTCATGTGGAAATCAGTTTTCTGAAAGGCCTAAAAATTTACACTTGTGATCTTCAGAGACTGGGTTTCGATTTTCTAAAATTGGCAGAATTAGGACAAGGCCTTCTATCATAGCGGTGTTCTCAAGACTGTGTCTCATCTAAAATCTTCCAATTCTTTGCCTCTCGCATATTTGCTTTTCCTACAGTTTTGATCCACAAGGGAAAGCACTTAGTACTTCTTCAAGGCTTTAGTCAGGAGGTACCTCTTCAGCCCCGTTTTCATTTAGCCCTTGTTCTTGGATACTCTAGTATTTATCAAAGGCATAAATAATCCTGACACTTTTCCTTAAAGGTGCCGATTGAGAGTTCTGATTTTTGTCAAAATGCACTTCGCCTGTGATCTCCCTAAGTGCCATGATGTGCGTTTGTAATCCAACGTGACTATTTAAAAACAACAGATAGTTAAAAAAAGTTTTTCTGGAAAATCAAAAACCGGACAGTACCAATCAGACAGCCCCGCCCGGCCCAGCCCCCGCAATTAAAAGTCTCACCTGCCTGGCTCTTCTTACTGAGAGTGGAAGGCCAGAGGCAGAAGTCAGAGGTGGCAGTGTCATCATCTGTAAAATGAGGGGGATGAGCTCTAAGTTCCCTTCCAGCTCTAACCGATCTAGCACCTTGAACTCCAAGACAGCAGGAGAAGCAAAGCCTTAGGGGAGGGGGAGGCAGAGAAGTTCCCACCCCTCATTAGTGCTTTCCCAGGTTCCGCAGGCCGCGTAAGCAGAGGGTAAAGAGCTAGTGCGCGGCTTCTACTACCAGAAGCAAACACTTTCAGGATGACGAACCAAAACTAACGCAGTCTGGGCAGTTGCTCTCTGCTTTTCATAAATTCTTCCCTCTTCGACAGGCCTCTCTGCCTAACCCTCCCAGATGTAAAATCCTCACTGGCTCAAATGTTAAAATGTGAAAGTAGGGATTATAACAGAATCACAAATGGGAGCAGATGAGATTTAAGGTGTCCCCCACACCCCCCCAACCCCGGCCCCGTGCTTATGCACTCTGCCTTGGGAGATACGGGCACGGCACGGAGACCACGAAGGTTCCCTGGCCAGCCTTTTCATTGACCAGCATCTGGGGAGTTGGAGCTGGCAGAGCTAATAGTAAAAGGCAGGCCACTTCTGTACAGATTACAGTTAATGTTCGGATCATGTGAGAGAAACCAGAATAACGTGAACAATTTCAAACAGAAAGAAGTCCCACTTAAAACATCAACGCCTGCCCCCTGCCCCACCAGAAGCACAGAGCTCACACTGATAGGCTTGTCAATGTAAGGGGAAAAAAATGCTTCTCGTGGGTATTTGTACTTAAAATATGCTGTAGTCATAATTAAAATTCCATGTGGTTTCCCTTATTTTGATGCAGAAGCCTCATTAAAACCCCCGATGCGGGGCCCTGCCAGTAAACTCCAATATGGTTTTGAATTTATTCCTCCGCCCCCTCACCTCCTCTGTTTTACCTGATACATTCTGCTGATGTTTTTATTACCCGTCATATGCCAGGATCGCTGTACCTTTCTGGTTTATAGATGCCGGCTAATGGAAATTGACATTCATTTTTCAATTAACGAGCTCTGGTTGTGGTTTATAGAAAACAATGCAACAAATTTCTGCTAGGTTTACAGAATTTTCACCAATCGTTTCTCATCGTTTGAGACTGTAATGTCTTGAGGATTAACTCCTTCTGGGCAAAGAGAGCTAATGTGGACTTTAAAGGGATTATACAGTCATTTTTATAACTTACAAAACGTAGAATTTTCTGGAATTGCCTTACTCATCTCACGCTACCAAGAAATGTTTCTGAAACACACCGCAATGTGTTCTGTATGAAGAAATATTAACAACTCCTTACAGTCTCACGTGAGATCCCTTATATAATAATCATTGGTGAGGAAAAGGAAAGAATTCTAAACTTGAAAAGAAAAAAAAATAAAGCCCTCCTTAATCTTCAGTTTACAATAATTGTTGCAGCAGCAAACAATATAATTAAACTTTCTTTCACTGAATACGGTTGTATCTGTTTTAATATCTGTTTTGCACAATGAACTCGGGTATTCTTTTAGACAGCCTTCTTGGGTGATCTTGACATCGTGTACTAAACTACACACACCTGTTTAACTAGCCACATTACAACTACAAACTTACCAAAAAAAAAAAAAAAACCCAAAAACCAAAAACTGAAACCCAACAACAACAAAAGACTCAGATGTTGTATCAACTAAAGTAAGGAAAATGTATTATCTACTTATTTTTTTAAAAATATTTTTATTTATTTCTAGGAGAGAGAGAGGGACAGCGTGAGCAGGGGAGGGTCAGAGAGAGAGGGAGACACAGACTCCGAAATAGGCTCCAGGCTCTGAGCTGGCAGTCAGCACAGAGCCCGACGCGGGGCTCGAACCCACGAACCGCGAGATCATGACCTAAGCGAAAGTCGGACGCTCAACCGACTAAGCCACCCAGGCACCCCATATTATCTACTTATTAAAATGGTCAAGATGAAATGCTGGAGAGTTCTGCAAGTACTATTACCTCAATCTAATTTTATAAATGTAAAGCGAAAGCTCAGTAACCGCTCCAGTGATGTGCCTTGTAGCCTAAGAGCTCCCCTGAGCCAGCTTTAAAACCCTTGACTACAACCTACTGATTAAATAAAGCCAGTACTGCCTGGAGTTACATGAAACCCAAGATAAACATGGCACATCTTCCCAAAGGGCTGGTTTTACCCAACCTGGAGATTGGGTATATTGCACAGTAAACATTAATATGATCTACTGTAAACATTAATATGATATGGAGTAGAGCACAACACTTGGGTGAGTTTCTAGGTAAACAGACAAAAACCAAGTGCAACATAATTTTGCACTTATGAGATTTAGGTTGTGTCCCCCAGATTCCCTCTAGTACCCATTTACTCTCCTCTGCTGTTGGTGCTACTCTGATGAAAGGCCCAAATCCCTCATTTACTGCTAAGATAATCCGTTCTAATCTTCCCCATTAACAAACAGGAAAGCTGAGAACAAGAGAAGGGGAGCCACGTATGCTACAAAGGCCTGCCGCTCGAGAGATACAGAGCCATGACTTCTGACCTCTTTGCAATCCTAGTTACCCTTAAGGAATCTGGTTGACACAATCACAGGTACATATATATCTTGCCTTGAAAATCTAACTTTGCGGGAAAACATTTAAGCAGGCTCTTCCGGTACCTACAGGTTGCCTCAAAGAGAGTTACTGTCTTTGGGATCTACTGACAAACTCTTTGACGCCTTGTTGGATGTAATCTCGCTAAATCGTGGGCAATTAGTTCAGTTGCTCACAGCATAATGGGAATGAGACCTGGGTCAAGGGTTTGATTCCCTTAGGACCTGCTCATTTCCTACAGACGCGTTTCATTCCGGAACTGTTATCTGTACCTCTGGCCACAGTCAGATAGCTGGCAAAGGAATGCAGCTCTCTTTATGAGAGCTGCAAGAACCCTGCTCATTAAAACAGCAGCACCAGAGCCTAATATACATGGAAAGAATATATTAATAAAATTCCCATGAAGCTCAAATAAAAATAAAATCAATATTAAGAGTAAAAAAAAATCTTGGGGCGCCTGGTTGGCTCAGTCGGTTAAGCATCTGCCTTCAGCTCAGGTCATGATCTCACGGTTTGTGGGTTTGAGCCCCGCGTTGGGCTCTGTGCTGACAGCTCAGAGCCTGGAGCCTGCTTAGGATTCTGTGTCTCCCTCTCTGTCTCTGCCTTTCCCCCGCTCATGTTCTATCTCTCTGTCTCTCTCAAAAATAAACAAACATTAAAGAAAATTAAAAAGAAATAAAAATTAAAAATATATATAAAAAATCTTGCCTCTTCCCCCACCTGCCAAGGTCTATGGGGAAAAAGGAAAGTCTCTCTTTACCCAATAGGGTTTCTTGGGTCTTCAGAGCAAGTGGAAAGTATGGTGGAATGAACTGAAACCAAAGAAAAGTGAGGATGAAAGAGAGTCCCTGATCTTGGTCTCATGTCCTACGATCCGCCCCCACCAGCATCTTTTACACACTGCTTTCCAGTGCGTTATCTCGCGTCATGCTTGACTCCTAAATAACGAGTGGGCTGCTGAGGGCAGAGATTTGTCTAATCCTTGTTTGCCTCCCCTTCAGTGCTTAAAACAGTATTACTGGACGTTTCCGGGCCTTTACCTAATACTTTTGTGTACATCTTCTCACTTAGAGGCCCTCCATAAATCATGGCTGGCCTGAGAATGGGCAAGGAGATCTCTAGAATGACTGGAAACAGGAGTTTGAAAACAGTAACAGACAGGGCATTTGCCATTTGGGGTGGTCCGCTAGGAAATACTGTATCCGTGCACTGTCCCCTCTCAGCAGCAGGATACACATCCGACCTGAGAAGGCAAGTCAAGCACGGGAAGGAAGAGGGGCCTGAAGCCAAGTGGAACTACGCTGGTATAGGCAGAGTCCCCTGTCCTACTTTTTAATGTAGGGCGTAAACCTACAGAATGAAAAGCCATCATACTTCTCCGCAATGAGGTGTTAACTTCAAAGCTTCATTGGGGCTTTTAAATGGTAGGAGTTATTGCTTTGGCAAATTTCAAATAAAGCCCAAGTACTTTTTATTAACCCCCTCACAGCATTCTTTGTTGCAGAACATAGAATACTCAAGATCGCCACAGAGCTGCTTTCCTGTAAGAATCTTCTTCCCCTTCTACAACATTCCTGCTGCCCTTCCCCAACTGCTCTATTATATAATTTCCTATTTTCCTCCTGTTCCAATAGCATTTATTTTCCATATCTCTCTTTTGGGCCCTGAAGAGTCACTACTTTACTGAATTATTAGCTGTTTCTTAGCCTGTCCTCTCCAACTATTAAACTAAGCTTTGGATGGCAAAGGTCATGATTTATTTTCCTCTCATGACCCTTCTGCACAGTAGGAGCTTAAGTTTTTGGGGGTTTGCCTTTTAATGTTCATATATGGATGGATGGATAAATGAATCAATAAGTTAAGTTCGTCTAGGGATCAGGAACTCTGTACAATGGCTGGTACATTTTTGACAGATTAAAAAAATAGACAAAATAAGCATTAAAGTAATGCTGACATCAAACCTAACATGTATTCTAACACTATTCCAAACCATAAATCCTTGTAAAACTCTCTTTAAAGAGTGTCCAAAGCTCTTCCCAAGCATCATTACATCACCTGACCTCATGTTTCAGACAGTCAATCACCACTAGTGAACAGATACCTCTGTTTTGCCATTGGTGGTGTTCCCAGTATCCTCAGAGCCAGCGTCTGCATTATACGTCTACACTGGGGGCCATACGGACAAGAGATGAGGGAGCAGGAGGCCCAGGCCACAAAAACATGGCCTGTGGGAAGGTGAGTTAGCACGCTCACTTTCCTCGGGATCCCAGGGCAACCTCCCCCACGAAGGTTAGTTATTTGGGGTAGGTAGTCAAGGTAACAGAAGGTAAAACTGACACTGTCAGAATCTCTGGACCAGTATGGACAGCAAGCACATCAGAGGCATCAAGAACCAAAGATGACCTTTACAGAGGAAGAATGGGAAG